TGGGGGGGGGGGGGGGCAGACCCCCGAAGCTCGTAAAAATTGTTACTCGAGAGCTTGACTCTTATCTTAGGATTTGGTTTTACACCGCTAGGAAGCAGACGCTAACAAACCTCTTGAAGGTTTGCCAGTCCATGTGTGGTGTCTTTGCTGACGTAGTCCACGTACAGAGAAGATGCTGCGCCAAAGGGAGCAAGGTGGGGAGTCGTCGTGTAGTCTTGAATGGGTCCGATCCATGACTTGGCAACATCGTAAGAGTGTTGTCGTTGGCCATGCAACGCGAAACGTTTGAGAAGTAGTGTTACACCGGCTCCCGTAGCCCCTTTCGGTTGCAAAGGCTTGAACAGCATAACTTTACGCGGCGGCTGCTCGCCGCAGGGGCAGGGATGAAGTGCCGCCATACCTATTCCTCGTGTACGCACGGGTGGGGGTGAAGCGTCCTTGCTTTTGTTTGTTGTGGTGTCGAAGTTTGCGACAAGGCTGAAGAAACTGGGGCACCAGGTGGGACCGGGGACGACTGTGGTTATGTTTCCTCAGGTTGCTGTTGAGCAACAGCAATAGCATGCGGAGCAACAACAATAGCAGTTGAGCACCAGCGATAGCATGTTGAGCACTAGCGATAGCATGTCGAGCAACAGCGATAGCATGTTCATTCAGCAACAGTGATAGCATGTCGAGCACCAGCGATAGCATATTGAGCACCAGCAATAACAGCATGTTGAGCAACAGAGATAGCAGCCCCAACGAGGGTGGCGGGCATACCCAAGGACAAGCAACGCGTTTTTGGGCTTAGTTTGGGGTAGGGTCTGTGAGACACGTGAAATGGGCATGGGCGGGGAGTTTTGGGTTGTGGGACATCGAATCAGTCTTGATCCCGGTATGAATGAAACCCGGGGGAATCAGTTGCAGTGCTGCCTCGGGTGCAAGACGTCCTTTTAGTTCCCCCGCGTTAGAGATACGCAGGCGGTGCCTACGACATTTCGTATTTTTCGTGTAAAATTGTAAACAGAATGAGAGACCGGGGGGTAGAGGGGAAAAGTGTAGCGGTGCCTATTAGCGAAAATCGATCATGTCTGGAAGGTCCGAATTCCCCAGGCGCGTAGTGTTGCTAACGGAAGTAGAAATAGTAACTAGTTGCAGCGGCAGTGAAAGCGGCAGCCGTAGTAGTCGTCCTGGAAAGCGCTGTGACCAGCAATATTGTCGCTAAGGTCGAGAAAATTGGGCGAAATATCATTTGTTTTGTCGAGTGTTATTTGGATGTCGTGTTGACTTGGGAGAATGCGGGGCAGGAGGGACCTCCGTTGTCATTGTTTTCGCGAGGATGAAAAAATGTATCACGCCTTCGTCTGGAGTACGTGGGGCAGGAGACCTTATCGCATTGATTTTGCATTTACCTCCGTCCGCCAGGCAGAGCGGGAATGGTTATTGTGTTTTGTTATAATCTATGTTTTCGTTGATCCCGGGGGTTACGTATTTCCCTTCCCTGTCCCTTGTCCCTCTCCCCCTTAGCCAGATAGTGTGAGTTTGTGTTGGTACTGGTCTTTTGTAGACCGCTGTCCGGCCGCATACAATAAAAGTTTATTGCAGAGAAAGTGGGGTAGCCCGTTTTGTTGTATGGCCTTGTGCGTTGAAGGTGTTACTATTTATGTGCCTGGCGTATCGTTGTCGTACGTGTAGACCCTGGAAGCAGTAATATACTACTTACGAAGTAGTGTTTACGTGGATATCGATTCTATTGATGCATGTTGTGTGTAGCAAGGGAGGTTGACCAGTCCGCGCCGCCTATTCCACGACCTGTTCATCACTGTTACGAGCGTCACGATTTTTTGTGCCCGATACTTTGTCCGCGGGTGGGCGCCCATACTGGTACTTCGGTCGCTTTTTTGGTAGAAATGAAGCGAAGGTGGCGTTGCGGACCGCCCGCCACCGACAGTCCTGCCGAAAAAAGACTTGAGTACTTCTATTTTGTCGGTGAGCCCTCACATCATCACGCTACAATTTTGCGAACGTCATTTAGTCATTTGATATTACGGGGTCAGGTTTCGACTGCTTGTGGGAACGCATCTGGGGTCTCCGAATGAACGTACGTCCGTTGAGGCTGACTGAGTACTCGTTCGTGTCATACTGCATGTACATTTTACTTTGTACGAAGATGAAAGGTATACCCCCTTTTGGGGACAGTTGGCTTGTGACCACGGAAGGAGTCGGCGTCAGTTGGACCGTACGGACATTTAGAAGGTATTGAGCGGAGACCGGAACGGTTTTTAATGTGTGTGTGATGTGAAGACAACAACACAACCGAACCAAGATCGATCGTTATGATCGATGGGAGGTGGTGTGTCATTCCTTGGCAAAGAGATCATTAACCATTGTTCGTTTTGGAAGGCATTCTCCACAGGGCAGTCACAGGGTACCAAAAATATGTACATTATCACCATGTGCATACATACCTCTTCGCGGCCCTGCGTATCGCATGGGACCTGACCAAGGGGCAAGAAGCATGCATGCGGCGTACAAACCGTAGGTTGCTTAACAAGATATCACACCCACCCACCCCGGGACCAAATTTCAAACCTCGAGTACTCTGTAGCTATTACACGGTCAGTAGCTTAGCACGGATTGACTGTGAAGTGGCTGGTGACTTGGGGGCGATTTTGCGGATCCACGTCACCTGACGGCGGGCCAAAAAACAAGAGAATCAGCATCACCACCATCACCAAATGACCTCTTGACAAAAACTTATATTGTCTATTTAGAGACCAATGACAGAGTCGAGACTATGTATGTATCAGACTAAGACTAGTGCACGTCGTCTACCTGCGCATGCTGAGTGTAGACGACTGTACATTTTCTTATCGATGAGGTCATGGGTGGTGTATTTACTGCTGTGTTAGCTGAGCCCTCGCTCAACTACCGATCCACTTTTTGTTTGGTCATCATGTATGTATGTGTCGCTGCCGACTCACATAACATACAACGTACTGGCGATGGTATCATGAACCCAGCAGGTCCTCCTCCAATTTTTTCAGGGCTTCTACGCCCCCGAGGGTATTTGTGCGTACCGACTGCATGGTACGATTACAAACATGGTCTATGACGATAGGATTCCAATGCGGAGCCTGAGAGAGCGAAGAGGAGGAATATTACAATACAGAGGGTGAGGGAGGATCATGTGAGACCGCGAGTGCAAATATCTGTCGGGGATGCGTATATTATGGCGCAAACACGGGCCCCCATACGAGACTGTCGTGTTATCCTGTTGGCAGATGCATCGCGCCGCAGCAGGAGCATAGCCAGCTTGAGGAGCAAGATAGAAGCGAAACGTGCGTGCCTTCTCTCCACCCCGCTCTCTTTCATTCCACACGTCTTGTCTCTCCCGCATATCGCGTGTGACTGCTCTTCAAATTGATACAACACTTCGCTGGGCGGAGTTACTGGAACTGAAGTCATGCCGCGTTCCTCGCGTTACGAAGACCGTGCCAACATCCTGCGGGGCTCCGAAGACACGACCTTCAGACTGGTGTGCGACAGGGCCACGCCAGAACAATGGGCGGAGTGGCTGAGGGCTCCGTTAGAGCACGCGGCGGCCACAGCGGACCATGACCTGGTGAAGAAACTGCTGAACGCCGGAGCGAACGGGAGCACGGGTTGGGTGGGTTGCGATGGCAAGACTCTGTTGCATGCAGCCGCGGAGGGCGGTAACGCGCAGGTGATCATGGCGCTGCTGAGGGCGGGGGCGGCAGGGGACAAGGACACCGCAGCCTCGTACAAAGAGCGAACCCCGCTTCATGTTGCGGTTTCTGGCGGGAAGGAGGCAGCTGCGAAGGCGCTCATGATGGCCGGAGCGGATGTACACTCCCTCGACACCGACCAGGACACTCCGCTTCACTTGGCCATCGAAGGCGGTTACGTAGAACTTGCCGAGGACCTGCTGCTCAGCGGAGCTGATCCCAACGCCAAAGGTTCGAGAGGCTCCTACCCTATTCAGCTCGCTGCTGGCCGTGGCAGGATGAGGTGGTCTCGGCCTTGGTGCAAAAGGGAGCGAGCCTGAACTGCCTCGATGCGGTAGGGAAGACCCCCCTCTACCTGGCGGTTGTCGAAGACCGCGTGTCCACGGTGCAACTTCTCCTGGCTGCGGGTGCCGATGCAAGCTTTCGCCTGGCCAATGCGACGACCGTCCTACACGTAGCCGCGGAGTATAACGAAGCCGGTGCCATCGGAACTCTAGTCGAGGCTGGGTCTGATATCGAAGCCCGGAGCAAAAGCGGACAGACCCCGCTGTGGTTTTCGGCTTTCTACGGCTCGTACACCGCCATGCTCGCGCTGCTGAAACTCGGAGCCGGCGTGAACTCGGTAGGCACCTACGGATCGACACCCTTGCACGCCGCGTGCAAGAGAGGCCACGCAGACGTTGCACGCCTGCTGTTGAGATGGGGCGCAGACGAGACCATCGTCGACAACCGTGGCCGAACTGCCTACCAGAGGTTGCCAGCGATCGACAACGTGGTCGAAGAATACCGACCCGGAATCGAGCGTCTGTCCAAGGTGCTGGCGCGCGCCCCGCAAGACAGAGCCTGGTGCCGCCGGGGCTTCCTCGTCATGTGCCGTGCCCGTCCAGACAAGGTGCGGCTACAAACAGCAAAGATCTTAGATCCGACAGCGGCTGGCAACCAGCCACAGCAGCGAGACGAGGGACTCGTTGGTTTGGCAGCACGGCTGGTGAAGCTAGCCGACGAGGACGTGTTCCGCAAGGTCGTGGGACTGCTGTAGAGCGAGCAAGGTCAGTCCTGTGCCGGTGTATGTTTGCACCCCATGCCACATGTAAGGAGGATTCAGTTTCCTTTTTCAGGCGTCAGCCGCTGCTGCTGTTTATAGGTAACCCCTCTCACTCGTTTTGAAGACGTGCGGCCATTTTCAAGTGCTGGACAGCGTTGACGAGTGTATTTGGGCCTTGTGGGAAGTGCAGTGCTGCTGTGTCGTTTCGTCGTGGTTGTTTTGGCCACTGTACTGCTGTAGCCGTGCCTCAACACGTCCGTCGCCGTTAGCCGACTAAGCTCTGCCAACCAGACAATGCGTGCGGATGTGCTACGGGATTCGAGAAAAGCATGTCCGGGTGTACGTATCTATCACATCGCGATGGCGGGAAGCGTCCACCGATAGAGCTTGCATTTTATCAAGTTCACCATCTATTGTACGCGTGTCTCGGCAAATCCGTACAGCATGCCAACACGCGTCGCAACGATGGCACTATCTATCTATCCTGCATCGATAAATCGGAAGAAATTACAGGCCGCCAGGCACTCCAAAGCCCGGCTCATGCCGATCTATATCTTTCCTGTCAAGGTCGTGTCGTGGAGACGATGTGGCATCCCCAACTGGCTCCAGGCTTGTTGGTGCGTGCTTGTATCGAATGTATATTTCGAACTCGATACGGCCGAGCGGGGCTTTGCCTCCTCGGTATCTAGCGGTGCAGTGCTGACTGCACGTGGTTGACGCTGCGGGAATGATCTTGGAGATAGGGTATGTGACTTCTAGCTTGCAAACGACTTCTATGCCCGCGCTGCTGGCACCCAACCGGATCGTTTCAATAGTTTCGCCCTACTGTCACCCGTCTCTTCTGTCTCTGCCACTCTCGCATTGACAGACGATCAGCTAGTACGTGGGCAGCGTTCTTGGTCGCTGAAGAGCATGGCACTCGTGGCAGACTGGGCGGGAGAGCCACACTTTTTGGTTCAGCAGTATTCGGAAATAGGCACAGCGTACCGATGCGCCCGACAGTTATTGTTCCTGACAAAATTATCGCTGGCGCGCTCGATATGTGTTTCTTTTTAGTGTATATTACAAGGGAGAGAGAACGAACTGTAGTGCTTCTTACGAGGTTGGGGTAGCACGGGCCTGCAGGTCGGATACGTGGGCGTTGGGGAGTGACCGTTTCACCGACGTAGCGTGCAAATAGGAATAAGGGAGAGCGAAGGACTCGGGGTGGTTGGCAGGCGCACTTCTTTTTTTTTCTTGTAAATTTTCCTCGTTGCTCTCAACCACTGAAATGTACATTTTTTAGACCCTTGTACGTATTGCCGCCAGCAAAGCAACTTTTTTTTATTTCTTCCCCCGCCCCCTGCTAGAAGTACATATTTTCCATGATCGATGCCCGGTTTGTTTATTTATCGTTCTTTTGTTGGTCTAGATATTGGAAAGGCTGTGACCGTGTAGTTGGAGAGAGTGTGAGGTATTTCGAGCCCGTTGACAAGGACGGGCGTACATCTTGGTTTGCCCTGTGTTTTGTATCAGTTAGTTCGACTGTTTGCATTGTTATCGGTCCAGAGGAGCATGGGCTTCGTAAATCCTTGCGTGTGAATAAAAACCATGGGCGTAGGCTGCTGGTTTGTCCACTCTCTTCTTCAGTTTGTCGAAACGTAGGTGTTGTGGATGTCTTGCAAACACTTTGTACACATGATTGGGCGGTGAGGCTCTTGCTCCGTTGTACAAGATGGATTGTAGCTGTTTTGGGTCTGTCGATCCCGGACATTTGGTGGTGTGTGCGTGATTATTCGCTACCCGCAGATGATCTGGGTTGTAGGTGTTGCCTTCGGTTGCTTGTATCTGGTCTGCCCGACAGCAGGTATTTTAGTACCCAGCAAGCGCCTGCGTTTGTTCATGTAGGTGGAACGAGTTCTTCCCTGTAAACGATGGTGTTGGTAGCTAGCTCTCGTTGGGTTTGTCGATAATAATATTTTTTTTATCCCGTCCAGAAATGCCAAGGTGTATTCTGTGGGCGTGGGCGATGTATTCGCCCTTTTAAGAGGATGGAGTTATACTGCTCTATTTCTCTCTTGATATCCAGTCGTCGATTACGGGCTGAGTTGTTGCGCCTGTTAAGTACATACAAGGGTTCAGTGTGGGGTGTGGGGGGTGCGGTGTTTCCCCTGCCACAAATGACGACATGTTACAATCCGTGTTTTTTTCGCCCTAGTTGGCTTTCCGGAACACCAGAGAGCTTTGCGAACCGTTCAGACATTTGCCTCTGGTGGACAGGAGGGGATGGGTAGCCCCTCCATCGCAAGTCTGTTTGTTATTGAGCATGTCCTGCATTCGGACTGCGTGTACTACCCCTTGGCTTGGAGCATTTTTACCGAGTCAAGCTCTCGACATGATAGAATGTCGTGACCGAAGGACTACTTCCGACAGCAGGTCTCAAAATGTCACCGCGTCCAAGATCTTAACGCATGTCGAAATGGTGCACGATTGAGGGAAAACGCAACATTGTGTGGGGGCACCTTTCGTTGATGGTTGATGGGGCTTTCAAACCAGTCTCCAGTCGTCGTTCACTATGTTTGCGCGTGGAAAGAGAAACGCGTGGGTTGTAAAGCAACGGCACGAAATAACGCGGCTAAATCCACAAGAATAATGTGGAAGCACAATCCCGAGCAAAAAATGCAAGAGACACAGCTGTGTGGCCTGCTTGTGAAATATTCAGTCACTTGGCTACTTGTCGTGTTTCGCACGCGGACTAGAAATGCGTACCAGGATGGGGTAGCATAATGGAATCCTCTCCCGTCATCGGAAATGTCCCCGAACGGTTTGACCATGGAGGTGATCCTTCGCTTGATGGTTTTGCACACAAAAGAGTACTGGAATTGGTCAAGGAATGAACACTAGTTTCTACAGTTATTCTCCGAAAGATGGAGTGTGCTACAATAATAGTACATGGGGTGTGGCAATCAGACGAAGGTTGCTACATGGTTTCCAGGAATTTCATCGGGGGTTTGCTACCGCACACTTGTCCCACATTAACGACAGACCACATTGCACGGTGTGGGATCTCGCGACAGGTCAATGAGATCCGCGATCTCTGTGGACATACCACCATATAAGCATTTTTTCCCACAAGGCCGCATTCAGGTTCAGAAATAATAGTTAACTGAATATCACGGACTCGTTTACACCCAATTCGTGCTAGTACACTTTGTGCCACCGTAATTAGCCATCTTGGAAGATGCCGCGGCCGCGACTTTCTCATCTTCGGCTATGAAGGCGTGATGGAAGCGATGTATACCCACACAGAGAGCACATTGTGGGGATAGGGGAACGCTTGCACCGCCAGCGCGAACTGCACGTCCGGGTGCCTGGCTTCATGGATGCCCGTGGCCCGTACCGTCTGCACAACGCTGTCCACGTCCACGAACCCGGAGTGCAAGGGGAACCCTGGGAGCGAAAAAACGTTTCGCACGGAGGGGGGGCGTACTCCTGTTTTGCATGCCGTAGCGGTAAAAACCCTGAAGACGGGGCGGGGGGGCAGATCATGCACCCAGGATATATGAAACTAGCCGGCCACCACATGTTGGTCTCTGAGATACCGAAGCTCGAAACTATCATTGCGTCGATACAGACCAAAGTTCTTGCAGTATACATTCGGTGAACCGCGGGCGGTCCATCACCTACGACGGGCCGGTAATACCCATGGTGACCCATGACGACTCATGACGACTTGTGACGGCTGTTGGGCCCACAAAGACCCATGGGTCATACGAAGCCTAGTTTAGGCGAGATGGGCTGTCGATGGGCCGTGACCTAGGGCCCAAAGGCCGTTCAATGACTTTGACCACAAAAGGAAAGTCCATGGGTCGGACACATGGTATGGGACAACGGCGCCATGGACCACCGGCGGGTGCTCACGGGCGGTCAATGGGACGTCCCATGGGCGGTACCAATAACGAGCACAGCCAATTTTCGTAGGTGCAACGTGTCCTTGTTAAGTTTGCGCGCTTCGCACCTGAGAATGCGACCTGAAAAGTGAGGCAGACGACCAAATAGAAAATATCAAAAATGTAGCTGGTTCAAGAATGTTTGCTCACCGACGATATCTCTGTTTCGCATGGTGTTCTCAAGGCGCCGACGGTGCTCGTCCTTCCCCATCTTCGCTCCGCCCTTTTCACGCGTACACCATTTTTACAGGCGGCGGAGGAGACAAAAACAACAGTGATTGCGGTTCGAGAACCTTGTACTAGCTAGCATGAAATACAACACCTCGTTCAACCTCATGGAAAGTTAAAAGAGCGGCGCTGGAAGTAAGTTCGATCGCATTAGCTCCGGACAACCCCACATCTTCAAGAGGGGGTGTAGAAAATGTGTACACGTGGCTTCTCGGGACGGTGGTGTAAGTGGCGCTTCACATAGCATGAAAGGGCTGCTCGTAGGAACGAACGTGCCAACGCGAATAGATTGTCTTGTTCGTCCAACGGAAACTACCAGTCTCGCTTGGGGCTTTCGGCCTTCTCCCTTTACTACCAAGAAACCCCCGACTCGTCAAACACGCTTGCTCACGGTTAAGGCTTGCTTCTCCAGGAGCGGAAGTAGCTCGGCAAGGCGGTTGGATACGTCGGCGTTGAAGGCCGTGTGTGAGCGCTTTGAACGCCATCGCCTGGCGACATACGTGGCGAGAGTAAAGACGACGGTTTCTGTACAGTGGGCAGGGTTTTGGGGAAGTATGGGATGGAGTGAACATGTTTGTTTGTCCTACAAAAGGTACTAGATTGCAAACATATCGGTCTCTCAGGAGGAAAAGGTGTGGCCCGGTGAGGCCTTCAGGATATCTTATTTTGCTTTCGCTCTCCCGTTACCGTACTAGAGAAGGCGTTGGGAGGACGAAGGCGCCTAGAAAGGACGAAACAAGCGCCACTTGGCCTGGAAATGCTAAACCATGTGCAGTGCGTTGTTTATCTCGATGACACAGGAAGTCACCTTACATTTTACACCTGGAATCATCGACGTTTTCGGATCGGCTGATGACCGGTTGGGGTTGAATGTGAGATGTCACTCGAAGAGTTTTTGGCGTAAGCGTGGGCCTGGTGATGGGGCTGATTTCGACGCCGAAAGACTCTGATACGGTGAGGGCGGTGGTCACCGTAAGAACAACCCCGACCAAGACTTTCTCAAACTATGGATCGTCTTGGTTGTTTCGGGCATTCTCGGTCCGGGAAAACAATCCCCTGAGATCGTCACCTCATATCCCTTTTGAGCGCCTCGCGAACTAGGTCCTCTACTTCGTACACAAACGACTGCTGGGTCGGCCGATACGCGATGTCCTCCTGAATGCTCGTGTAGCCTTGTGCAGGCGCCGGATTAGCAGGGCTCGAGAAGAAAGGAGTCCTTGGCAAGATTTTGGCGTCATCAGGTGCGGCGAGGGGCGGGGAGGGGTGGAGGAGGGAGTGGACCATCAGGAGACGCTGATCCCGTGGTTTGATATCCAAACAAAATAACGGCCCATTCAACGGCACTGTTTCATGTGGACCTCTCGCTCAAGATTTCTCAACAGTCGCTTCAACTGCTTGGTGTCTGTCCGGGGAACATCTCAGTGAATGTCCTACATCAACACCAAGGGCACCGTGTCAAAATGCGCGATGCGACAATACCGGGCGCACGGTGGAACACTGCGCTTTGCCAATCTACCTGCGGCTAGAGTTGCAACCTCAAGCGCTTCCCACCATGTTTTGCTGTCGGAAAGGTCGAGGTTGAGGTCGCACGGTCGGACGTTCCTGCGCAGACACGCCCACACATTCTCTTGGCTAGCCACGCAAGCAATGTCGATGAGGGGGCACCTGTACGATCACGTTCCATTGACGGTGGGGATTGGGAAGGGACGTTTCAGTCCGGAATATTTCGGCAGTCGTGGTACGACGTTAGTCCCACTTGCACGTACCGGTACGCTCGCGCTTGCCCTTCGAAGGGGAGCACGAATCTCAAGGACTGCCTTTGTGTCGTGTGTATCTCGGGAAGGGGCGCACAGATCAGTAACTTACATGTCGCTTGGGCTGAACACGATGCGGTGATACAACGACCGCACTCTGCAACTGCGAACCTGCGTTGCGGTAGGGTCAGCACACCGAAAACTCTAGCGGCACCTGGGGTTCGGTGATAGCGTTCATCGACGTTGGTGGTGATCGTCAAACGGCTACCTTGTTGAGGTTTATCACCTAGAGTCGCGTGCGTCGAAGCCCTCGGCAGTGGAAGGTTTCCAGATTGAAGTCGTTCGTGTCTCGCCGAACCGGCTGAGCTCTTGTACCATGACGTACACAGTGTCACCTTCGGGGACCGCCCGCCCACTCACGATGTACACCTTGATGCCGGGCAACGTGAGAATAAGCGAAAAACGACGAATTTTACATTGTGGCTGCAATTTTTTCTGCCGACACCAGCGCTTTGGAAGACTTTAGAACGTACGCATGTGTCTAAAGATACCGCAATCGAAAACATGGAAGTCACGTTTTAGGGGCTGAGAAGAACTATCACGTTGCCATTGGACTTGTGTAGCCCTCTCGCACGGTGTTGAAACTATCGTATCATCTGAATGGTCGAACACACTACGAATAAGACTGCCAATGAACGAATCTCTGATTTCCTCTTGTCCTCTCGTTTCCCCTGCTCCCCCAGCCCTGTCCCCGTGATCAAGCATCACGTTACCTCCGTCCTCAAACCGGTTCGTCCAGGCGGCCGGCGGTTAGCACCCGAGATCCCCTCTCTGACCATGATGAGGTGCAGGATGTAGTTGTGCAGCAAGATCGCGTGTTCTTCGTGATCGCCAGCTAAAATATCCTGCGGAAACAACGGCGAACCAAAGCGTATGTCAATGCAAGACTGTGAGCGACTTTTCAGAAATCAGCGTTCAGCTTGGCAGATTTTGTTTTTACCGCCACCCGACACCCCATACTTCCATCCCCGTCAACGGTGAAGTGTATTTGGTGTTGTTTGTTCCTATGCGTGACTGAAGGGAAGGTCGAACGTAAGGACGAGGTCGTACCATCTACTGCGAGTAGTGCAGAACATCATTTTGGGCGAAAATTTGATGAGGGTTCGAAAACGATAGGTTATTGATCAGCGTGTGGATTTCTAGATCCACTGGACGGTGAGGGCGTCTGAGGCGAAATCGAGGAATGCCCGGTAGCCAGGTGTGCCTTGGTCACCATATGAGCACGCTTTGAATAGTCGTACATACAAACGAGAGACTCTGACTTGGCTCCAACGTTCGCACCAGAAACTGCTGACTCGTACACCACATGTCGCCCACGCCCTCGAACATCTGCCAGTCTTCCAAAAAGGTTAGCAAGCTGACGTAGTGGGCGCACTTGCAGACCGTGTTGATCCCCCCAGGAGGTTCCTGCGGGCATAGATACCTTTCCAATATCCAAACAGATACCGGGGCATTTACGCAAGATCAGGCGCGAAGCAGCGTTGGGAGGAGGCACGGGAAAGTGGGGGAAACGATGGTGCGTCGCCAACGACCACATGTACGGAATCAGGAGTTCTGAACAAGTGCCGCGACTTAGCAGGGAGATACACCGTTTGGATACACACACACATTCCCGCACTGACCGATATAGAGAAGACGCGAACCTTTTCAACTACGTGCCGAATAATTTTTTTATCAAACCATGATGCGTTGATATGGGACCGCGACTATGACATACTTGGTCCAAAAAACACCCCGCAGTCCCGAGAACATGCCTCCCATGCACCCTCCGTTACTCTTCGAAGTGGCCTCGACTAGAGTGGGGTGCAACAGTTCTCCACGCAATTAAACCATTTGAATGGCGACAAGCCCGGTACCTCGTGAGAAGGACATCGTTTCCGAACATGTCCGGTACGAACAGCTGCACGGAGAGCACCCCCTCCGGCAGCTCGGTGGCGTCTTTCACCCTCTTCATCCAGCGCGATCCCGCCGCTATCAGCCCCGAGGATTCCTGGTTGCTGCCAGGGACGCTGCCAAAGCGGTTGTGAGAAAAACGAGGACTCTAATCGATTGTAGGAAACGACCCTCCTGTTTTAGTCCCTACCTAACTCCCTCCCGCAGTCCTCTCTGCCCCCGGTCGGACCTCGACGCTGTGTAGGTGAAAATAACGGCATATCCTGCAGCTGTTTTTTCTGAAGGGCCCACGTAACCAACATTCCGAGGCGTTTTGAAATTTGTGGTTGAGCTTTTACGAACTTCTCCTTCTTCAGACACGCCACTATTGTGAATCACGAGTTGTACAGTGAGGCCTCACTTACAAAATGCCTTATTTTTCTACCAGGCGAACGTAATGTACAATCGAGAGAAAACATGTCGACCTCGGAGCCAGCCCGTTCTTCGTTCGAAAGGGGAAAGAGATACCCCCTCACCTTTCTTGTGGAAGGACGATGGGAATTGGGTCGAGGGTAGCCAGCACTCGGATATACGTTGCCCTGAGCACCCATGGCAAGGGGTGTATCCCCGAAGCGAGTGAAAGAAGTGGGGAGGGGCCGAGCGTAGGTGGAGGGACAGAAAAACAAACGTCCAAAACACCGCAAAAAAATTGAGCATTCCATTCAGTTAATTGGCTCGTCCTGCTGCTATGGCTGCTGCTATCGCAAACGCGTCTCCAGACCACGATTTTCATTGCGCAACTGCCGCAGCATCTGTTTCTGGCCGCCGACATCATACTCCAAGAGTCGATAATCGAGACGCGAACGCGTCGAAGGGATGCTGACGTGTTCTTCCTGACGCCATCGGTGAGGGTCGGAAACGTCACCTGTCCGCCTTGTGGACGAGGGCCGCAGGGGATGCTGGATCTCCTGGTCCGCTCGTGAGCGAAACTCCAGCTTCTTCCTTTTCTCCAGGCGCATCTTCCTCGTCTTTGGGTGTGAAAAGTGAGCACAACACAGCACAAATGCGCAACGTGGACGGAGCGGAATGTTGAGCAGACGCGCACGTGAAGGGCTGGAAACGGTAATGAAATAGAACCGCGGAGGGAAAGGATGGCATCCTACTCCCAGACCTTTGATCATACCGCATGCTGGCTTGTTCTTCACACCAGACGTCCGAGTGTGCATCAAGTTTGGTCTATCCGACGTTCTTACAACGGCACCGTCATGCCTCTCTGATCGCCACGCGAAAGAATGCGGGTACAAACTGCTACCCTCATCTTGACGGCGGTGATCGTCTGACCTTGCAATATAGAAGCACCCTCCACCGGATCGATGCCGGCGCCCCCAGCGTGAATCTGATCGTATCCGAGATTCACTGTTGGGACACACAGGCGAAGCACCCCCTCCACCCGTCCGGCTTGATACACGGTCTGGGTGAACAATAGGCGGCAGGTGGGGCGGATCTTACATGGGAAGGCTTGAACTTCGTTGTTGCCTGTAAGCGTGGCCTATGTTGTTCATCCTGGTCGCCCTCGCGGGGCACTGCCCGGCGGTCGAGGCTGACAGGGGCTTGGCGGCAAAAACAGACTACCTAGTTGGCGGCCACAAGCGCCGGAGGAGTGTTGAAAACACGTGTCGCCCAACAGGCCCACCTCAATGCAATGCCCACCTCGATGAAGCAGTGCCAAATAAACAACACTCCGTGAAAGGACACGCCGACAAACCCTCCAAACCAACGGAAACTTGTACAACAATCCACCAAAGTGCGAAAGTAATATTATAGTGATAACGCGGCCCGGAGGAGGAGGCACCTTACCCAATCCAACCGAGGTCTAGTGTCTGTTTCCCTGGATAGCTTTCGTGTGTGGTTGCTCTTCTTGCTCGCCTGAAACGGTAAAACGACTGACCCCAAGAAGCGCTTCTCCTTTCGTATTGCCGTCTCGTCCTCCAGATATCCACCGCTGCTGCGGTCGTCGAACTCGACTTCGTCGAAAAGCGATATGATGATCATTTCATGCACCTTAACATGGACGCAGTCGTGAGGAACGCCGTGGAAGGAGAGCAATGGGAAACCAATTGAAAGGAAGGTGGGACATTAAGGTACGAGAACGTCGATTTGGCTGAACACAGGGACGTCTGGTCATCTATTGTACCTCTGTGACGTGGTCATCCCTGCCACTGCCGGTTTGTTCAAGCTGACGTCGAGATACCGGGAAAGGGGTTCTCTGTTTATGCCTTTCGGTTGGCGTAACCTGTGGTCCCGTTTTCATCTCCGCCCACACCGACGGGAGTTACGCGCAAAGAGCTCTAACCTTGTGTGACAAAGGTTTGCCTTGGGGACTTCAAGTAGCAAACCATTTCAGCCCATGATCTTGCGTGTTCCACGTTACGCCGCACTGTCAACACTCGATTCTTCGTTCAACAGAGACTCAACAGCAACCAAAGGCATCTGCACCACACACGGCGACGCGAAATATGTTGCATGTTTGAGTTCTACAGGTCTGAAGCCATTGCTGGGGGCAGCGTACAGGGGAAGACCGAGGAAGAAGGCGAGAACCAGGAGAAACAAATTCAGATCCAGGCCGAGACCAAGCCATCATGTGGAATCTGTAACCGGAGTATTAGTTCGAGCGCTACGCGGACACTACAGCGGGGCTATGCCGCCCGCCCACCCACCCACCTGTGCGAGGTTAGCAGGTGAGAAGTCGGCCATAGGAGGCGTGAAGGGGAGGTCCAAGCTTTCCTTCCACAACGGGGTTAATCCTTCGTACACGTTCGTTCGTTTCCTGCAAACACCAGGTGCCCAGCACACACAGAGGAGATACGGAAGGCTAATGACTCCATTTACCTCCGAAATTGCGGGCTACAACAACGTGTAGCTTGAAAAGCAAGGCGTGACTATGGAGAAGCAACCAGCTTTCGAATGGAAGTGGCACATTGCACGATGTCCATCCGAAATGTAACCGTTGTGCCGCGCGTGCGACGGTTGGCATGAAGGCCATGAACTGTGCGTGTCATATAGATTATTTCGTACCCAGTTTGTCTTGTGGCGTCGTACGCAGAGTCTTTTGGTGGTGCTTGTTTCCCTGTGGCGGTTTCCTCGAGAAGTTGACACCAGGCCTTTAAGGCCAAAATGCTATTCGTGCAGATGCCCTAATCACAATCATGACGAATGACCCCCGATGGCTTAGGGCCCACGCATATCGGTTTCGGACATGAAATTCTACAGAAGCAAGCGCAACTACGGGTGAAGTTTTACCTAGTGTCTTGAAACTGAACCTCGACGAACGAGGACAGAGTGCCCTTCTGGCGAATCACTTTCTCCTCCTGCTCGGCAGACAACAAGGAAATACACGGCGATGTATGTGTAAGGAATATAGGCACACGGAAAGCCCGTACAGTTCTGCGATGACAGCCGTAAACACATCTGTCGAACGTGAGCAGCACCCCGCCAAGTCATTTCACCGTTGTAGCATAGGGCACCGCACTTCGTCTATTTATTGCTTTCAGTTTAGCGACCACCAATCACGTCCGAAACGAGTGTTCCATCCATGAATATCTCGTCATTTGGACGGTCAACGTCGACAACATTTCTCGGGACACAGTTCGGGGTACCACCCATAAACCATGGTGGTCGGCCCATGGGGCCGTCGTCCCATAGAATATCCCATCAGTTCTACCCGTGGGCCGTCCCCCTGGTTGAACTCATTGGACGGCCCATGAGCCTAACACACACGGCCCATGTGCACGGCTGTACTTCGACGCACGACAGACCATAGACCTTTTCCGTCCAACGACTGTCATTCGTCGTCGTGTTTTGCCATGGGTTGTATTTGGCCGGTCATGGACGTCCCGACTACTAGAACACATGGGACGTCCCAGGGTCTCCCCGTGGGTCACACATGGGTCGTAATAAGCCGCCCATGGGTCGTCATGTAGGGTAATGTGTCCTCACTTTCGTTTGCATTTCTGCGATGCCCTATGGACGGACGGCGATGGGTTGCCCTTGACATTGGCGGGCCTACGAGATGCCCATATTGTAGACGCCCCACGGGCCGCAACAGGCCAGATACGGCCTTTCATGGATCATGGGCGGTCCACTAGCCGTAGGCACCCTTCGGGTCCCTGTAAGCGGTCTCTTGCGGGCCATGGGCCGTCGCATGCCGCACATACTTGTTGATATCTGCATTTCTCCGCCTACAATGTTTATTTAGGCTTTGCTATATGGAGGAAGCATTTTTGCATGCACGCCGAATGCAAAGCAACGCAGGTTGCATATCGCACCAGGGGTATCTCAAGCTCCTGGGACGAATGCGACTCTTCCGATCTCTGTCTCTCCTCTTTCTTTCTTTCTCTCTCTCTCTCTCTCTCTCTCTCTCTCTCTCTCTCTCTCTCTCTCTCTTTCTCTCTCTCTCTCTCTCTCTCTCTCTCCCTCTCTCTCTGTTGCTGCTCCACCCCCGACATAATTGGCGCACCTCGAAGTCCTCGTCATCCGACAATGGGCCGCCGCTATCAGCCCGCATTCCGGGCTGTTGCTGCTTGGGGATGGCCATAGCAGTTGACGCGGGAAGCCCCCCCGCACCCTCTTCCGAACGAACAGGCACGTTACGCGCCGAGACTATCTGCAGCAACAGGCGGCACTAGAAGGTCGAGAGTGGAATGCACGACACACCGCACAGTGGGATGGGGGGATGGCAGCGGGGGCATCACGTGTTTGGAATATCTCGGTGTTCGTTGCGTGATGTAATCAGCGTTCGGCCTATCAGCTGATGCAACGCAACAGATCTTTCCAGTACGGATCATTCGTGTTGTCACAACTTGTCATCTTCGGCGAGGGGGTGGGGGTGCCGAGGGTGGAGAGCTCTGTGTATCGTGTTCAGGAAAATCTAATCGCGGTACGCTGAGCTAGCCCCTTGGAGAACCCTACAACACCAAAAATGTATCGCGTGTTCCGTTTTCAGTCCCGTTGGGATTACCGCTAGCACTATGGGTGTAAAGCGTACCTCATCGAGCTGAACCGTGGCGGCCGTCCTTTCCTTTGGCTACAGGTTCGATCGCCGGCCGAATTGAAGGGACGGGTAAGGACAGAGAGGGGCGGGGGCAACGTGAAAGGAAGGTTGTGACTATTCTGAGAATAACGAGTGAATGCTAGAACGGGCGAGCAGCGGCGGGGATGCTAATGGATTTATGAGAGGAAAGGTGGAAGATCGAATGACAGTCCAAGTCGTGGTTACCGCGTGCTTCGAGCAGTTTTCGACCTCTCTAAACGCTAAAGCAGCCATTATCAGGTCGTCGCTCATTCAGGCCTCGGCTCGGCGGACTCGAATGATCCCGCGCCAGGAACGTGCTGCAACCCTTATCAGCACACGCTCAAGTTTAGGATACCGAATACGTTCTTTTCCACGAGAATCAGGCTGGCGTCTTTGGTCAACCATGGATTGTGAAACAAGACGAAAGAATGGGCACCTCGGGGCGGAGTGCTCGCTTCGGCTTGGGAAAGAAACTACCCCCCTCGAAGTTAATGCCGAGCTGCGGCACCGCCTCCTCCTGCACTACCGAGGAATACGTAACGCGCTTTAACGCCTGTCGCCGCGCCTGAGCCGTGCGTGAATCGCGTACTCTCTGCACGAAGTCCATAACCTAATAGTAGGAAACGGATCGAGGACAAAGTATGGCACAGGTGAGCGAACTGGACAATCTGCGGAAGTGCAAGTGAGTGAAGGACTGCACAGACTGTCCGTAGAAAGGGCAAGCCGATTGGTCTGGGAGCGAACGTACTTCAAGAACATCCCGTAAGTTAAAGCATGCGTATCGGGCACTACCGGTTTCGTCTACGAATGTGTTGTGCGAGAGATTGTAGCAGCATAACGTGTAGCGAACAAGAAGTTTACCTGAGTGGGTTTTCCCCTCAGCAATGTCCACATCTAATAGCGTGATTCGGCAGCACCAAAATGCGTCTCTAAGTGGGCACCATACCACCCGATAACGCTTGCTGTCAGTGCAGTTGTACTCCTCACCCTTCCGTGGTCAACCGCCATCCTCTTCTTCTGCTTGTCGGCGTCTAGTTCGACGTCCGCCTCGCCGTCAAATATGAGGGACCCGCGCCGCCCGCTGGCTTCGTGCCGATGCGCCCTAACGACGGCCTGCATTGCGGGCGGCACAACCAGACAAGCGGGTGGGAGAATGATTGGTGCGATGCGGCAACACCGCCCCTAGGCTTTCCCTTGCGTTCTCTGACGCCCCGTCTTAATAAAGCAGTCTTCAATGTGTGTGGGTAAAAGCCACATTGATGGGTGACCTGACAAGGAAATGAAGAATGTCAATGACCGCTTTCTATGCGCCCCTGCCGGGACCCATGCCGTATGCATATCCTTACCTCTTGGGCTAGGATTGCCGTAAGCGTCTCGTCGCGTCTGATGTCATCCTCGCGGAGAGGAATGGGCCGGTTGCCGAAGAGGGCCGGCTTCTGCACCCGCAGCCGAATCAATGTGTGTCGTAGAGGCTCTTTCCACCTTGAGGGATGTGACAAGGCGGGTGTCGTGGGCCTTCAATCAGGTGAGCCCGTCCTGCGAACTAACTGAGGTCACATGGACTGAGTTTTCAGAGCTATAGCGGGGCGAAATCATGAAAAGACCGTTCATTCCATCCTCGATTACTCGTTGCATATCCATGTGCTCGGCGTCTTGAGGGACGATTGCTGGCCCAACGGCAAAAGGATTTACAACAAAAGCACAAATATTTACGTTTTTGCCGCGCCCTCGTTATTGACTACTTCCCTATCGTGTGTTTTATCACGACAACGAAAGGTTCACCCTCATAGGGACAATCGACCGTTTCAGGAGCACCAATCTCACCCAAAGACCTCTCACCGGCGATGATTGTTGAAAGCAAACGTGCAAAATCCACCACGTCCACCCCCAACGTCCGCTCTACCGGCCCCGCCCGCCAACCCCGATGCGATACGCTTCCCGGCAAACACCAACGCCTGCTGCTCTTGTGAAGCTCGAAAAATGCCCGCGTCTTCCTCCTCGCCTCCGTCCTCTGCTCCTTCGTTGCCCGCCCCGGCGCCAGCCCCCCCCCTCGCTGATGCCGGTCTTCTGGTGGGACGTAGCCCACTTCCCGCACGGGGACCCCGAGCCACGACCGACAATTCGCGGCGATCTAGGTCGAGAGTGGACAGCAGACCGCGCAGCCGCAATAGGTTGCCGTGGCGAGGGTCGTTGGGGTCGATGTCCGCCCCGCGGGGAAGGAGACGGAGAAAATCTGCCTCCCGGGCGAAGTCGGGAATGGTTCTTCCGTGCGCGAGGTGCGTGGGAGACGAGGGGACGGCGTAGGGAGAGTTAATTGTCAGCCGGTACGTTGTTGTGAAATGAAACCGGGTGTGGATCTTTTCGCCTCACGCCCACCACGCTGTCTCAGCACGAGGAGAAAATGACTGCAAGGGCCGACTGCAGCGCGCTTATTTACTTCACTCGGCGGTGCAGCCCGGCTCACCGTGAGGCATCCCCGTCTCCGGCACCGGCGGCACCACCTCCTCCGCCTTTTCTCCCTCCTGCCTCGCCTCTTCCGCCCGGGGTACCGAGTTGGGACGACCGCAGCCCCTGGAGTGGTTTCGCCCGGAGCTTGGTTCGCCCCTCCGCCGTCCAAAGAGCGTTAAAAATGTCCTGAGATTAGGGGCGGTGATGAAAAACTTAAACAAACTTGTCAAGACGCGTTTAATAGCGGTGTTGTTAATTACATCTGCATTCCGCGGTCGAACCGTGTGTGGTGACTTTGATGACATTCGAGGAGGTGTACTCGTGCCGTTGTATCCACGGTGTTTTACATGCTGTAGCTAAACACGGCAGAGCGCGCTTAGCGAGGAAACTCGCACGGAAGGGTCACGACCAAAAGAGCAGAACATCCTCATGACAAACCGACAACACTCAGAAGAAAGCCTCACCCGAAGGGTCAAGTGGCTGTAGGAATCAGCACCTCCTCGAACGGGCAGGGTCGGCGCTGACGCGTTATCCCCTTCAGCAACAACGCCTCCACTGGTTCTGAGGAGGGACGCGAAGATGGCGCATAGGCATTTGTCATGTTCCGCGTGCGAATTTTGACCGCCCACTCTCGTGATGTCATAGCAATCGACCCCTCCAATCTGAATCTTTGGTCCGATCTATCGGCCAGCAGCCTCCAACATCGGCTTGTAAAGGAGCACCAGGAGGCTCTTACCAGAGGTCCACATGGTGTTCTCTTCTCGACGAAGTTGTCGAAACTAAGGCAGCAGTGCAAGTGGGGAAGAGCTCAAGGACAGCAGTTCGCTTGTTTTGGGTCGCCGTGATTCCTCAAAGACTTGGGACGCTTTCACAAACCATGAGAATAAGCTTCGGCTTTGAGCTGAAAGTTTGACAGGTTAACGACGGCCGAAATGTTCGATCTTCGTCAGGTTTTTCTGGCTCTTCGATCAGAGCTGGCGGCTTACACAAGAAACGGGCTGAGAGCACCATGCAAGACCTCATCGGCATGCTTCGTTATGTCTCACGTGTCTTCCGCGCTGTCGCGGGATGTGGACCATTCCGTCCCCACCAGCACCGATCCGCAGGTTCGACGGTCCGCGAGAGGACCGCTGGAGAGAGCAGGAAAGTGACAGATGTCTCGCGATTAAGGCAGGGAAAGCAAACAACGTGAATGGCATGTCCGAACCCATGAGACCTCAATTTACAGCATTCTCAATTTGTACCATTGCGAGCTCTGGATGCCCAACCGCCAATCGGCTACGAGCGCATCTCTACAACATTCCCTCTTGCTTGCCTATTGCACGAGTGCAATGACGCCCCGTGTCTCTATCATTGTGAGCTCGAGGCTTCCTACCGTTACCAAGCGACGGATGAGGTTCTGAGCCATCCCGTCTTGCCTGCCGGTTGCACGATTTCAATCACCGTTGGAGGCAGATACTTTCGACAATGATTACCTAGTTGCCATGGGCCTTCGCGAAGAAAATTGAGTCCACTGAGTCCGAGGAGCGAAGGCGTGAGTGGTTTGTGGGCCAGCACCCACTGAGTCGCCGAAACGGTTGTCTTGGCCTCCTGGGACCGGGACCCACACCGATGCCACCTCCTGCGTCAGCCACGTACCGTGTTCGAACCGTTCCGATGTTAGTAAAGGTTGCGTGATTCGACAACAGGACGACGTTCCACGCGTCGATAGTGTCAGTAGATCCCACGAGATGGGTAGAAACGCCCCCAACATATAGGTATTTCATGGGTGAGACCTTCACTTTTAGGGCAGTGCTGCTCCGTCGAATGTGGTGGCTGCCCAGAATTTTGTTATTTTCGCATGTACGTTGTTGCTGGCATCGCTCAACCGATGCTCAGAGCACCAAGTTGATAGCACGTCGATATTTGTCTAGGCTGGCCTATCAAACAAACTCACTACGTCTTCACCCGGCTTCCCATTGAGGACCACTGTTTATTCACGGCATCAACTGCTTTTGCGGTGCTCGTTGTCGTGCGAACTGTTGGTGTACTCGATCAAGCATCACTCTCGGTCCCAATCACCTGGTCTGGCCACCACGGTAGCCCACTGCAGCTGTATATGGCCACCATGACGCTCTCGGGGCGCCTAACTAGCCGGAGCCGGACGAGATGGTTGAAGGAGCAGGCGAACTCTGGCCACTCAAGAGAAACCGCCCTCGTGGTGGACACCTGCATGTGTGTGCACATGGTTGTGGTGTGAAGCACGAAACAGCTTGCGGGGATGGCTTTCTAGGAGGAAGCATTTGAACACGTCCGGTGCTACTGGTAGGAAACACAGCATTTAGAGCTTGCTGCTCTCAATCGCGCAGGCGGTGTGAAACGGTTAACAGTAAAGCGATTGAGCACAGTGTCCATGTTTTCGTGAAACGTCGGTCTCTCGTTTGCTTCCATGAACTCGCCAGGCGATGCTAGAGTACGTCTATTGAAGATATGCAGGGGTCAGCACACCGACGTCCTCAACAACCGTAACCGTTGACTCAAACGTCGTGAGCAAGTTTTAGTACCTTCGAGCCGTTAACGAACACAGCCACACGGAAGCGCAGCTCCCTCGCCTCCTCCCTCCTCGCCCTCTCCAACCGCCCACACCCTACGTCCGGCGTGACGATGCCGTCATTGCTCAGCCGCAGTACGTGGGAGCCTTCCTCTGTCCCACCGCTGCGTCCGCCAAGAGACTTGGCAGTCGAGGAAAGAGACTGATGTCCGGCCCGACAAGACCAAGGGTGTGCACATAGAGTCGTTGTAGGAGACAAACGATTGTTTATTGCGAACAGCTGTTTTCGAAAACGAGCGTATCTTGCCACAGCTTATGGTGGAAGTTGATCAGTCTACGCATATCTACTTTGGTACCGACGAACGCCCGCTCCTTCGATGGGGTGCGAGCAATGCAGCCTTGCGGGTGAACGGAGTCTGCCTACAACAGCATCGTTTTCGCACCAAACACTGGGGGCATAATCAAGCGAAACCCACCGCTCGATTCGGGCGGGTTGTGTTGATCAGGCAAGCTCCGTGATTGCATTTTCCCGCAGCACTCAAGAGTAGTTGTGTTAGTTGTTGTGGGCAAGAACAGCGAGTACACAGCTACCCGCGCCCCTATTCATACAGTTCCCATTCCCCAGGCGGCGCATGCCCGAGGCCGGGTTCTTACCGTTCGGCACTGCGCAATGACGAGCTCTAGCTTTTTTCGTGTGTCGCGTCTTCGGCGCTCTTCGGCACGATTGTTCTTCTTCGTCGGCCCCTCGGACACCTGGTGATATGTGGCGGGAACAAGCGGCAAACCATTGCTATGAGGCAGGAACAACTTTGTCCGGTCGATTTCCACGTCTGGTAGATTATCGACTAGAGTACACGCTCAGATGGATCAGTCTCATATGGGTTTTGGTAGGATGGGAGGTAGGAGACTCTGCAAGAGATTCGTCACATAAATCCAACAACGGAATAAACTCCAGGGCCGATCATTTACTAGCTGGAATCACGCTGGCCAGGTGAATGGGTGTTTTGTGCTTTGGTGCATCCATCATGCCAATCTTGTCGGGAATATCGTCTCATTTTACCGCGTCTCACGACACGACCATGTTGAACAGAACCACACCTCGGATGTTTTGCCCGCGCCGGCCGCGGTCGCTTCCCCAGACCTTGCAAGACTGTGCGAAGAATCCTGCGCAGAGAGCCACCCCAAAAAGCTCTGCGCAGAGGGGCGGTACGCAGCAACGACAAGAGATGTGCAGTCAGAAATAAAAAAAAAATGACGTGGGGTAAATGAATAGTGGAAACTAGCAATCTTACCTTGCTGGAATTCGAATCAGAAGATGTAGATAGATCCACAACGTAACAGTTGATCCACACTGCGTGGGAAAAGGTAGTGATGTAATTGTTGAACCTCATGTACAGGATGCACTGCGCGTTTTTGTCGTCGAACAGACCATGCGTGTCTCGGGTGAGTCTACACACTACGGGGGCATTGAGGCGGGGTATGTTTTAGACGCACGGGGCGACAATCAAACAAGTGGTGCTGCCCGACCTCGAGTTGGCTAAGCTGCTCGTCGAGGGAAGCCAAACTGAAGCCGTCCAACTTCCTGCCTCCTTTTCCCCGGGAAGAGAAGAAGTCGTCGTCCTCCTCGTCGATCTCGCTGCCCCCATGGCTATTGCCCCAACCTGCCGCTGTCGCTCTGATCTCGTTGCCGTCTCTTTTCTCGACCTTTCGCTCCGTGAGCCGCGTGCCGGTGGACGAGATTCCTCTGATATGTTTCGCATGGAACAGAATTTTCGAGTCGTGCCTTCTGTAATCCCTAAATCTTCCTCGAACTATCTTGTTTCGGTCAAAACTACTAGTATCTTCTAAAGGTTTTAAGACTCGGCGTGCGTGCTTGAAGTCCCGATGGCTCGGATTTCATGCTTCGGTCAGGCCGGCGGACCAAAATCGAACACAAAACCAAGAATGTTCACGTGAAGACATTGGGAATACTGAAACGTCCATCTCTGTCCAAGGCACGATAACAACTTCCAGCTCTCCCCCACCCGGCATTCCGAACTCTCTCCCTGCCAAGAAAGCCTAGATTCGGCGACCGTGGCATTCGAAGGCGACGCTCACCTCTCCCTGCGATCTTCCTCGAGATCTGACCACGTCGCGTTCATGGTATGCTCTAACCGTAACACCTCGTCCTTCTCCGCCAGGACAAGCGCCAGCGTCGTCAAGCTGTCTCGGAGAAGCCAATTCGCCCTCTCGCGCGTCCTCTGTGTGTACGTCAGTTAGGTAGACGGGTGTACATGCTCGAGAGTTTCAAGCCTTAAACTTGTCAGGCTTCACTTTATCCGGGTGGCATGTTTCAAGGGACATCGCACACGGACACAGCATGCCTAAGACGCAAACAAAACGCTGGCGTAGAAGACGCAAGCCTTACATTGACTACCAGAAGCGTCGATACGTTGGTCTAGATCGATGTTAGGGCGTAGCCCAGGATTCGGCGAGATACTTCGTACGGTCAAACCACGTAAGGCAAAGTCATGGAGGATGCCAAACCTAAACGGCAATCAATCAAGTGATTCCATTGGGCCGAATCGGCGCTTGCATGGCATGCGCCTGTAGGGCGTACCATGTCACGTTCTTTCCTCGCTTCCTACCATCTCGTGAACGATGTTCCTGGTACGGAGTACTAGTTTCCTTGCGGCCATCCGTTGTCCCAGTGCCGAGGAGTACACGTTGGTATTCGTGTTGAAAACTCTGCTTTATTATCCGGGACAATCCACACCCCAAAGGCGTTCTTCACCTTCCCCATCTTGGATGCCGCGACCGCAGAGCTTGCCGGGGACGAGGCTGCTTGTGCGCCGTCGATCTGCGCCCTAGAAACCGGCATATCGAAGAGCGCGATATCCAATCAAGCAGGGAACCAGGAGGTCTGCTAGCGAGGCGGACCATTGGCTATGACGATTGTCTCTACACTCGCCGTCAACGACGGCACGGATTGTGACTTTTGGTTCGTGCGCGCCCAGGGGTATGATGAATTTTGTCCGCGGAAACACCACTCGCAACCTTCAACAGTCCGCGAAAGCGCAAGCATGTATCAAAGATCGAGCACCCTTTCTCTTGTTGCTCATGCCGTCGAATTTTGACGAGACCTGCGAGCGACCATTCATGCGTCGCCATAAATGAACAAGGCTCCGTCACCACGCGTGGAGAGTCAAGCATATCGATGACACCGGATGGCTGCCGGACACAGGTGATGTGTGTCCCACTCACCTCAGGTCCAGTAGCACCGACAGCGACGCCGAAAGCCTTCGACGGAGGTACAACTCCTCGTCGGTCGCCAACTTTGCGCGGTAGCGCCCGAACAGCTTCCGGAGCGATGCGCTCAGGCGGTCCTCGTTGATGAACAACGGGTAGTCGTGGAAGGCCACCCTGGGCGGTAAAATGGGCACGATTGGATGTTCCATCACGTCCAAGTAACGTCATCAAGCACAAGCAAGGTAGGGGCGAAGCGGTTGGTGGGCGTCAACCTACTTCATGATTCTCTCACTTTGTGGGTACCATCACTCTCGGGTTCGAACCAAGCCAGACCAGTCGGCACAGCGACTATTGGACACACGACGGCAACGTTTCGCCCAAGCAACCCTGGAAACCACCCTAACCATGACGCATGTCGTTTGCCGCTGCACGACACGATGCCTCACTGCCAACTCTTGCATTGTACAATTTTCTGCGGTGATTTTGAGCGGCAATACAGGGCGTCGAGAATACACGCCGCCACCCGCATTGCGGGACACACCTTGGGACAACTATTCGTAGCTCCGTTCTCTCGTCTAGCCCTGCCAGCCGAGCTTCCGGCCCTATCCCCGCCGTCGGCCGACGAACGCAGGCCTCTAGATAAGCGGGCGGTGGCGGGATTTCGTCGGCGGGGGGTCTCTCTATCCGCATCGGCAACGGCTCCAACGGGTCCTGAGATTCGATAGCGTGGAGGACGATGGTCATTTTCGAGAGACGTTCGGGAACGATGCCAAGGGCATCGGGCTTACGTTTGACTGCCATGGGGGTAGTTGTTGTTCATGGGAGTCTCCATGAGTAGGATTGCGTGCACGACTCCAGTCTCACCAATCTGTCACATATGGCGTCCCACCCGAAGTTCACCTCTGAGGGAATGGACGGTGTTGTTGACACGATCGAATGGTGTCAAGCGACGGGCTGCTAGACATGCACGAGATAGTCTCCAAAAGAACTTCTAGACGACTTTTGCAGTTCCCTCAACTGTCATGGAGGTTTTCCAAAAACAGTATCGCCAAGAAAACCCGTCGTGGAATCACAGCATAGCTTGCGATTTTACACTTTATGAATGATTCTTTCGATGCTGCTGTTGTGGAAAGAGGTCTCGAGCATCTTGAAACACCTTTGGCTACACCTTCTCCAACTTGTCCAGCTGCTCCTGACCTCTCTGCAACTTTTCCTTGCCCAGGGGCGACCAACAGGCATTGATAGAAGTACCATTGAGACATCACGTCATTGACACAACATCTTCGGCTTCAAGCACCTGGCAGTTCGGCTGTTCTCACACAGAAAGATCTGGTAGTTTTACATCGACACGGAGACTCGTACCGGAGACATCTCCCAACAACGTTTACCTCTAGAATGCTTGGTGCGCCACGGGCAGAGAAAAAGTCTGACGCTTGGCTGGGCCCTCGACCGGAGGGAAAAACGGTAACGCTCGGAGCACGATGTGGCCGATGCGCTTGGCCGTCCCCGTACATGTTCTCGTAGTCGAGCGCGTCGGTGACGTCGCCTTCTGTCGTGCCACCTGGTGAGGAGCGAAGAAGACTGAATCGTTGCGTGGGATGTTCGAACGAGATTTATTCGATGGTACGCAAGCTGATTGCAGGGATCGGGCCGTCCCGGCATTTTCATCGATTTCGATTGAGAGGTTGCGGCGATGCAAATGCAGAGCGAACGAGGAACCCGATGTGGATAGTATCCGGAACCAATCAGTTGAGAGCCCCGGCATTCCCTCTTCGCGTCGCCGCCGTTCGCCACCACCACTACCGGCGACCACCAACGCTGTCGCAAAGCACGAACTGTTTGGCCAACAAGGTTCATACCTTGCAGGTCGCGCCACACGGCCCGCTCATCCTCTTCCGCCCTCGCGAAAACGGCATCCCGCAGAAGTCTGTCCTGAACCGCACCCCTAAGAAAGAAAGAACGTTCAATTGTGTTTTGGGCCTGTGTTCTGAAAAAAAAGCGATCACTGTATTAGTATAGGACACATGTCGTAACAGGGCCGACCAGCAACTCCCGTCAGGTATTATCCAAGAGGAGACAAAGTTCTATCCCCCCGCCCCCTCATGAGTCATGATCTGCAAAACGGGGTACATAAATGTTCAGTAGAGCGAGGTGAGTGGTGAGGAGTTGATGATCCCAGCCAATTCCTATTCTGCTGCTCAACGAATCGTAGTGGCGTACGGGTTAGTCAATCCCATCCCAACGTGCCAGTCCCATTCCCCTCATTCTCTTCATAACCATAACGAGCAAAGGGCACGCAGACTCTGGCTCTAAGGCGAGTGCTCTCTGGGCCATATTCTACGACCACGAACATTGCACAGTCTTGCATCCGTTGGCACTGCCACACCTGCGCATCAGCCCCGGTGCCGACTTGGGTAACTGTCCAACGGCGAGACCCTCTTCTTCCTTCAACAGCCGCCTACGCTCGTCACCATTCCTGGCAGCTACCCACACCTTGCGAACCTTCTGGAGAAAGTACACCATCGGGGTATGCATGAAAGGGGATAGTACTCGACATGACTGGCGTGTACCGAAGACCTGTAGCTGGAGGGTATATCGAGCACCATCTGGGATATTTGCCGATCTGTACCGTTCGGATGGATGAGTTGAGCCTGCTGATCGCCAAACATACTGCAGGACAATCTGAAGCAATTATCTACTTTTAGTTTGTCCCAGTGATTCTACCGCAAGGGAACTGGTCGCCTACAATCCACCGCCACACGTTTCCGCGGGCATTTCTCTCGGACACTCGCAAACAGTTCATGATGAAGGAGAATATATCAGCCACGAAGCGCAACACTGCCACACGTTTCAGCATAGTGGCTGGCTTGAAAGTGCTTACGGCATCATATCTGGAGGCAATCCTGCTACCGATGCTCTGCGGGTAAAACTCTTACGGCGTCTTCCTTCTGGTCCCTTTCGTCTGATCGTGATGCTCGCATTTGGGCACATACCTCTGTTCCGCTGCCGTCGGTCCGCCCCTTACGAAGCAGGGCCTCCTCCCCTTCCTCCTTGCTTGCTTCTGCAGCTGATGCATCTTTCCGCGCTTCTTCCTCTCGCCTTGCTTTAGCCGAATCGCCTGAGATGTTCCAGTACGCCCTTACGCCACCCCCTCCGGCCCATCCGCTTGCTAGCACCGGGTGAGGATGTGTGGGGGGAATGGCGTCGCCTCCCTCAGTTGTAGCCCGTTCTGCGTCTTCTTCACTACTGGTCTCTCTTCTCGGAACCGGGCCACCACCGCAGCAACCACTTGTCTTTATTGCCGCTGAGGGCATCGCCGGTGAACTGTTGGGAGCGACAAGGACGACCTTAACCCCGCTGCCCTTCCCCCCGATAGCTCCGTAGCCGTAGCCGCCATCGTAGTCGTAGTCGTCGTCGTCGTTGAACTCGTCGAATAGTCGAGGTTGTTCTCCTTGCTGATCGACTGCTGTCGGAGACATGCCCGGTTCGAGCTAAGGAAAGAGGATTTGAAACGAATGGAATTCGCGGCGTTAGCACAGAACAACACGATTGGTCGCGCACTGACAAGGAGGTGTCGAGACGTCAGGGGACCGGGAGTATTGGTGTTTCGCTGTTTGATTGTGCAGTTTTTTCTGTGCGAAGCAAACAACCTGTGGGGTGATTTAGACTACATCTTTCTTGTTCGGTATTCACGCGGTTCAATATTAATCAGGCTGCACAGAAGCGCAGCACTTTCGAAGCTCAACGCCAGTTAAGCGCGAAAAAAATATGAATCGCCCTTGTACAGTATACGCGCAGATTGGATCACAGGAATTGCGAGTGTACCCGCTTGCTGTACCTTCGAGGATCCCATCTGTCCCGACTGCCGACGGGCGAGCATCCGGTCAGCATCTAGCTTTCGTTGCTTCCTCTGCTGTTGCAGAAGCGCTCGCTTCTGGGCTAAGCTGGTCTGAATTGTGTCCGGAAGGGTAGGCGCGGCATGAAAAGGCTTGATTGATTGGCATGTGGTGATGCGGTGTAGACTACCATACCCTTAGAATAGGGGCCAAGTGCCGGTGTGCTTGAGTTGCTATTGCCCCTTCGGGATATTTCGGCCACGATTGTCGACTGCTTTCTGACATTTCGTCGAGATCAATAAGGTACCTAACTTGTGATCGGTGTCTATCTAAACCGTAAATTTTCTTCCTTGATCAGACTGGCTCAGCGTAGGCCGCACCCCCACACCGCTCGCCTTGACGGCTTCGACCTTCTGTGTGGGCATTCCACCGCCCTGATCTTCTTGCCCCGCCGGACTCCCTTGCATCGCGTAGGCGGGCAGCGGTCCTGCCATTGGTGTTTCAGGCATTGCTGTTGCTGCCGCTGAACATGAGAGCAGAGAACAAGGTATAAAGGTTAAATGCATAGCTTTACGCACGCCTCGGTGCCCAAAACATAGTGCCCTGGTATGTACTCTTGAGGCGTGATCGACAATAACAGCAATCCCTACTGAAATATCGGAAACATACGCATGCAACATGAACGCTAAAAACGACCACGTTGACAAAACAAAGGCAATCAACTGGGAGCTGCAGAGTAAGAATGCCACGGCGATAGCGCTTGCCTTCTCCGCCAGGAAGGACATCACCGGAGGCGCGTCTCTTTCTCCGTTCTCTCGCTTTGCGGAGGCGTTCCTGCAATCCCTGTTCACACACATGATGACCACACAAACACGATTGCGTGAACAGTCCAGGCAAGGGGCTGGGGGAAAGTTTACCTGGGATTGCGGGTGCCTATGCATATGTGAATGCACAGGTGGTACCATAGGTGGCATAAGATACCACACCCCAGGGACCAATTTTCAGAGCCCGATTGCACGTCATGTACTGCTGTACACTCCGCGAGGAGGAGGACGCCAAAATAAAATGATATTCGCGTTTTCGGAAAGCTCTGGACGAGACGGCCCAACGCCGCAATTTTCGGCACCGTCACTCTTTCTCGCTGCGGAGTAAGCTTTGAAAATCGGTCGAGGGGGTGTGGTATCTCATGCGACCTGCGGCCCAGTGAGGTCAACATTTTGTCGGTGCTCCTCCGCGAACCAGATAGCGGTACTCGGATCTACTGCCCGCATGGGCTGAACCTACAGCAGTACCTCTCTTGGGCTAATGACGGGCGGCTCTTCGTCGTTCTCCAAAGCAGCTCCCTCAGCTGGAGTGCCTGCCATGGCCTCAAGCTACCCTCGGTCGGCTTAATTAATGGTCTCCTCCATACATGTAGATATCATTGATACAAGCCCTTGGATCCCTACCAGACAGCAGATCCGAACATCCGAACGGTAAATGGGGCGCCGCTGTATGAATCGCCCCCCCCACACCAATCTGGTCTCCAGCAGCATGAGCAACACTCTTTTGTGACACCAAGAGCCGGAATACTGCTGTGTGTGCAAAACCTACATCCACGCCAACCCAACGCTCCGCGTACGCGTTGCTGAGAGGGGTTATGGATATCAGCGGCCAGGTAGGCGGCTACCCGGCCATCGCGAAGGCCCAGCGGATGAGCGCCGCGCGCCTCGGTGTCGCGACGCGGAGCGCGCGCGCAGCAGAGCAGCAGCAGCAGCAGCAGCAGCAGCAGCAGCAGCAACGGTCGTTCGCGGCAGCAGCAGCAGCAGCCGCGGCTGCAGTTGAAGAACACGAGAAGGCGGTGGACTTGCCACGGGAAGGAGCGGCAGTCGCTCCCGGGCCCTGGAGCACAACAAAGGGGGGAAAGCTGACAGCAGCAGTGGCGGCAGCGGCGGCAGCGGCGGCGGCGGCGGCAGCGGCGGCAGCAACAGCATCCCCGATCGACCATGGCAATGACATCAGCAACGAACAGGATGCTCCGTCGTCCAGAAAGCTGAGAAAGAGTCGAAAGCAGCCGCGCGACACCAACACCACCACCGCCGGGCGGTCTCACCACCTGCCTCGTCGCAAGCAGCCTCCGGCGCGAGCGCATCGCAGGACTCAGACCCCAGCGCCCTCGTCGGAGTCCACGTCTCGGTCGGTGTCTCCTTCCCCGCCACAACAGCCGAGCGAGCAAGCGATTTCCCAGACGGAGAGAAGGTTCTGGAAGAGCGTCGAAAAGGTGTGCGGGTCTTCTACATACAATGAGCGCCATTAAATAAGCTTTTCGAGAGAAACAAGCCGCCGTAAAACAATTTCTTCAGAGTGCAGCAGTAGGAGCCTCGCCTTTCTTTGCGTGGGTGTGCCCACGCACCACACACACGATTGTTGAATATCACCTCTGCTGCTGCTGTGTTGATGTTGCAGCAGCCGTTTACAGGAAGTCGTCGCGGAATATCTCCTAAACGACAGACAACTGCTGTAGGTCTAGTACCCCCAGAGCCCCCCAAAGGCTCGAAATTTCCAAACGGTAATATATTATGCATCCCATGAAAAAATAAATCCAAACGGTCAGCCCTGCTGGCTCACGGTGGCGTTCACCGAAGCATCCTCAAGCAGGGTCTAGGCAAGGAGTGTTGCTACAAGCACACACACGGCACGGCGGCGTGTGAAGAGAATCTTAGAGAATATCCGCCGTCCGCCCCCATGTGCAATCTCAATATTTTGTTCCGCCTACTGCTGTGTCCTGCTGTCCTGCTGTCGGGGATTTGTCGCGCGCAGCAACCTGCGTGTTGGTTGGCAGATCTCTTCGTTCTACGAGTACACTCCACACACAACAAACGATCTTGACCCCATGGTCTTGCGCAAATAATTTTCATGTCTGCACGTGCACGCCGCTTGTGTGAAGTTCTGCTGCGCAGTTTGCTTCCCCAGTACTGAACAACAACCAGCCTTCACCCTAACAAGCCTCACTTGAGCGCCTCTTCCTTGAAAGGGATTCCACCTGACGTCCGGAAATGGACGGGGACGACCACACATAACACACGTTCTCCGTTAGAACAACCCTTTGGTCTTGTCAAACATGAGCGTAGGCACCGCCGAGGGTTGTTCCGTCTGACCCTTGATCGGAACTCTTGAGTTAGAGATGCAGCGGTGTATGGGGAAGAACTGCCGAGACGTAGTAAAACGCACGGACGTGGGCAAATCTATGCAAACTGTGCGTGTCATGGTCGTGTTGTACGGTAGCAACGAATTGGAGTATGTACCGGTTAGTCTTGAAGAGGACCGTCGAGACTTCCTGTGTTAATCATGTAGCCTCTGAAGCTGTTCACGTGGTCTGGATTGATTGATTGTTGACCACCGCAACGCATGCAGACCGCATGCTCACGAGCGTCGGTGCGGAGAGACGGGACGACACCGGTCCGCCTTGTTGCTTCCAGGCCCCACGGCTGAGAACCACGGGATTTCACAAGGCGTAACTTGCAGCCGCCGCCACCGCTGCTGCTGTTGCTGCTGCTGCTGTAGAGCTTGCTTCTTGCGCCGTGGGTGCATGTTTTGAACCTCTTTCGCGAGTAATGTCGGCCGCGTGATGTTTTAGTCATTCGCCATTTATTTACTTTTGATGGGAAGACAACAGCAATAATTATTGACACCAGTTCCATACGTTCGGGCGCGTTTGCCTTCCCTCCCCCCCCCCCCCGCTTGAACTATGAATACAATTCTCGTGCAGGGGCTCCGCGGCGTGCGAGGAAAAGCCATGGCCCTGGATCGCTTCCTGTACCACGAAATCGAGCCGGCCGCCCAACGTATTTTCGACGCGGCCGTGTTGGATCACGCGGAAGCCTGCCGCCTCCTGGATGAAAAGCCCGTGCAGGCTTTCGCCGGCGGCGGCGGCGGCGGCGGCGTACAAACCGCCTCCTCCAAACACCAGCAGGAGGGCCGGGGGGGTTCAAGAGGAGGGAGCAAGCCGACCATCGTCAGTAGCAACAACGACATTCGGAGCGACCCCACAGCAGCAGCAGCAGCAGCAGCAGCAGCAGCAGCAGCAGCAGCAGCAGTAGGAGATGACGTCGGCGTTGCGACGGGCAAAGCTCCAGGCACTGCATCTGCGACCGCAACAGCGCCGGCGGGGGCAGTGTCGGGGGCGAGGGGTAATGATAACCCTACCGAGCCGCGGCAACGGGCAAAGAGGGTCGGGGTGATCCAGCCGCCGCCGCCGCCGCCGCCGCCGCCGCCGCCGCCGTCGTCGTCGACCAGCGTGCGCGCTAGGTTGCCGGTGAAAGGACGGCAGGGCGCCGTCGCCGGTGGTGCGTTCGATCGTCCTCGCATCATCGATTTCACCGGCGGCGGCGGCGGCGGCGGCGGCGGCGGCGGCGGTGGCGGCAGTTACAGTGCTCGCTCGAAGACCGTGCCCGGTAGGCGCCGCCTCCTCGTTGAAGACAACTCCAGGAAAAAGGAGTTCCAGGAGAAGGAGGGGGGAGGGGGACACAGGGGTGGATCGAGCGGTTCGCGAGGAGAGCGAGCGGTGGCTGGTGGCTTTGCCGGCGACGACGTCCTGGCGGGAGCGGCGTCATGTGGACGAAGGGAGAGGCAGATAGGCGGTGGCGGCGGCGGTGATGCTGCTGCTGCTGCCGCTGCTGATGCTGCTGCTGCTAGGAGGAGTGACGACCTCGAGGAGGAAGACGATGACGTGTGGGATGCGCCGCTTCCTGGCAGGCTGGTGAGAAAAAAAACACGTTTTGGGGGAGTTGGTGTGCGGAAGGGGTCAAGCCACGTTTCGCGTGTTTTTGGAAGTACTACTCCCCGACATGAATCAATCGAAACGGCTTGAGCACCGGCACGGATTCCAGGCAGCAGCGGTACGTGTTACGACAGAAGGCCACCGGTGAACCCTTCTCTTCCATATAGAATAACATCAGTGTTTCCAAGTCAAAAATTGTTTCCTTACAACGTGGGAGAAACCAGTGGTATCACCTCCCGTGGGTCGGTGTCGGCCACCCTCCCATACTCCTTTCTTTTATGGGGGAGAATCTCTTCTCTCTCATCCCTTGCTGTTGTCGCAGCTGAGAACCCTCTTAAAAGACCATTCGAAATCTCAAGTCTCCCTGTTGTATGGCTGTACCCATCGGCCACTCTCTCTCTCTCTCTCTCTCTCTCTCTCTCTCTCTCTCTCTCTCTGTTCCCGCTAAACTCGTTTTCATAGCGTGCGACCGATATCAGCGCCAAGATCGTGGGACTGTCATCCGAAATCAGGCGCCGGGCAGCAGCCGAGGCCGGAAGAGAAGGCCGTCGCAAGCAGTAGCGGCACCGCGGTGGTGCGGCCACGGCGGAAGGAGGAGCGTAAACTTGGGTGCTTCTGGAACACCGTGTGCTTGAGGGCAGCCTGCCGGAGAGGCTTTTAGGCTCACAACGGGCGACGTGTTGCACACAGCAGCAGCTCGCAGCAGCAGCACACTGGCAGCAGAAGCAGCACATCGCGGTGTGTAGAGCCTTCCGTTCGAGGGCTGCAGTCAGCCGGCAAACGGAACAGCCTCTTACATTACGGATAATCGAATCGCTTGGAATCGAATCGATCCCAAATGGACCGAAGAACCGAAGTGACGTACGCGCGATTGAGGCGACGGTCGATAGACCGCGGGCTTGTTGAGCCCGAGAGGAAAAAGCGCAAGCCAGCTCCATCTGAAGCTTTGGTGGCACGCATGCTACCAGAGCGCTGTTGCCGTGGTGCCTTGATGCCCGCACGCAGGCAAAAAGAATGGCAAGTGCGTGGCTTTTGTTTTCCCTGCTGTGAGAGGGTGAACTCCTGTTGGAAGCTGCCGTTCGTCTGCGATAGATATAGGCTCGACATTTTTTCCTTGAGCCCTCTTTGCCTCGTGCATCGAAACATGCATGTCCGTTTGGAAGCATGCACCGCTTGCTTTTTCGCGTTGGTTCGGGGGAACTCTTGTATTGTTGGCGCTGAGGCGTGGTGCTCCGGGGGGGAGGGGCCTTCAACTGCCTCCGCGTGCTCTGTAAAGTTAGTAGTTAGCACCATAGGATGTGTTGCATGAGTTTCGGGGGCGTGAGCTGTCTGTTCTGTGTACCGTGGAACGTCCCGTAGCTGTTGCCCTGGTAAATTTGAAACCTTGGGAGTGTTCGTGTTTGATATCACCGTGGTGTTAGTGTCATAGAAGGAAGCCAGCAACCCTCCGTAGCAGCAAGGTTGTTGTGTTTTGTTTCTTTTTCTGCTGTTCTTCGTTGTTTTCGCTTCTCTTCGCAGAAGCACGCATGGCACATCAACAAGTACGGTGTAGCTCGCGAATTGCTTTTGCTTTGGGTTTCTGTGGAAGGTGAAGTAGTATTTTTTTTATAAAGAGAGCACGGCACACGTTGTTTTTCATGTGGTGTTGCCCGTGTGCTTGTGTCTCGCGTTGCTTCTTTCAGAATGGCGTGTTCGTTGGTTCTGGTTCTCTGAGACATGACGAAGGCCACGTCTCGTGGCCCGGGCTTGCTTTCTCTGCATTTTTGTGTGCGTTGTTTCGTGAACAGTTTGTGTGCCATGTCGCCGGTTGTCTGCCTTCCCGTAGAGTTCGATCCAACAATAATGGGTTGGATTGCCCTTGTTTTCTGGTACCTCCTGTCGTATTTCGTTGTGGTACAGGAACAAAGCAGGGGCGGTACATCGGTCTACCGCTGTACATTTGTTATATTTTTTTCTGCTTGTCTTTTGAGCCTGTTTTTTTGTTTTATTTTTATTTTTCTGCTTGCTCTACCACAGTGTCGTGATTGGTGGGGACGGTCCGGTTCTGTTTTGTGAAATATTTATGCTCTGATCTGTTGGTGTAAGGCGCCTTTTTGTAGACTACGGGGTCGGGTGAGATAGATCTAGTTCTCCACCCCCCCCCCCCTCCCCTATTTTCTGTTGATAGCGAACGCTGTTGTTTTCGGCGTCACCCCTCAGCGGGGGGCAGCGTTCGCGGCTAGAACGTGTTTGGCATGTTAGTAGTGATGTGGCGGTACACCGCCGTGCCTGTCTTGCCGTAGTGGCAATGTCAACATCTGTGTTCGTGCTTTACGTCAGCTAGAGACTTTGATTGTTGGAGCGTTGTATGCAAAGCGGTAGGCGTTCCACATAGTACAGAACGCGCCGCCACTTACTTAAAGGTCTTCGTGTGCGAGCGGTAAGGTCTCTTGTGTTTTCCGAGGCTCGTTTCTTATGTACCGAGTTGGGTGGGCCAATAGCGACAATTCTTTTGTTTTTTGTGTAGGACTCTTTTTGGCTGGGCACCTGTTGTTATGGTCGAGTTCCTCTATTGATGTATTTTCATCCGCCGGAAAAGGCGCGTGCTGTAGGAAATATAGTGATTCGAGTCCCTTTGGTATATCGGCTGAATGTTCTAGTGCCTTTGTTGATGCGGCGGGGCGTTGGGTGGGGGGCTTTTGTTCGTGCACGGTAATAATTCGGCGGTAGGCTGGAGGTTGCTGGTAGCGGTTCTGGATGTGAAGAGGACGGTTCTGGATGTGAAGAGGACGGTTCTGGATGTGAAGAGGACGGTTCTGGATGTGAAGAGGACGGTTCTGGATGTGAAGAGCACGATTGGTTCTGGGTGTGAAGAGCACGATTGGTTCTGGGTGTGAAGAGGACGGTTCTGGATGTGAAGAGGGCGGTTCTGGATGTGAAGAGGGCGGTTCTGGATGTGAAGAGGACGGTTCTGGATGTGAAGAGCACGATTGGTTCTGGGTGTGAAGAGCACGATTGGTTCTGGGTGTGAAGAGGACGGTTCTGGATGTGAAGAGGACGGTTCTGGATGTGAAGAGGACGGTTCTGCAGGGGGAAGAGGACGGTTCTGCAGGGGGAAGAGGACGGTTCTGCAGGGGGAAGAGGACGGTTCTGCAGGGGGAAGGGAACGCTGTGCTGTATATTTTGCAAGCGTGTTGGGATGTTACGGACGGGGGCGGGCTTTATTGAAGTTGCCAACGCTGCCCGTGGTGTCCTGTTGCATGTACCCTGTTCGTAAATATAGAGGAATACGCTTTTCCAAATGTATCGTTCGACCTGCTAGTGGTTAGATTCGTCACGAGGGCGTAAGTTTCGCGTTTCTCTTGAAGTTGGAGAACCGTTGGTGGAGACGTTTTCGCCATATCATGGACTTGGGGCCCCAGGTGTCAGGAGGGAATACGGTCGTTATTCAGGTTAGGTCGCTATTTGCGGGGTATAGCGGCTATCGGTCGGGGTGCAGTGCGACGCGATTTTGTGTGGTCGCTCTACGGGGCATGTCGCTAAACTGGGCCCACCGCTGTACTTTGAGTGACCCTGGGTGGGTGCGACATGTGTCACAGACCTCGTAGCAGATTGTGTTGGTGCAAAGCAACTATGCAAACATGGCATCGTTTCTCCCACCACAATTTGAAGGCTTTGTGCATCATTGATATGAGGGTGCGGACAGCCGCGGTTCTAGGTGAAGTTGTGGATGTACCGAAGGCGCAGCAGTTGTGAAGGACATGGTAGATTCGCCAGTGGTAGTGTTACTGGGGAGCGTGATGTTTGTGGTGATTGATATAATCCGCTCGTTGATGGGGGGACCGGGGGGAGATGATTAGCGCGTACGTGCGTGTGTTCTGCCTGTTGCGGTTTTCGATGTTTGCCTTGATGTTTTACGCACCAGGGTGTCTGGTTGCCTGCATGAATGAAGCGATGGGGATCTGTGCAGCGAATGAAAAAAATGTTCTCTGTGTTTAGAACGCCTTGGGGCGTGTTGTGCCAAGATGAAGGGTTCGTAAGGATAAGATAGGGGACGGGGGCTTCGGCCAAACTATTCAGTGAAGATAATATCGGGTACCCCTCAGATTGGGTTGGATTGGATTGTCTCTTCCACGTCTTGAGCGGAAATTCCCGACTGGCTGTCGAAGTCCACACAACTATTGTCGGACTCACCAGCTAAAGAACCTACATTGTCGTCTTGTAGGTCTGCAGCTAGGGAGGCAGAGTCATAACATAGGTCTCGTCAATAAATGGGATAGCGATAAAAAGAAAACGTGTGTGCAAGATTCTCTCCTGCCTGTCATGGAGCACAGTGCAACAACGTGTTCTTACGGATATGTCATACCCACCAAAAAGACCACAGCCTCAGAACTATCGAACAACGCGGGCTTTCGGGCGGGACAAGTAGACACGCTTGCTTTCCCCACATGCGACATCACGCACATCAGAACCGTACAATCCATACAAGCCTGTTTCAACCAGATAATTTGAGCACACGAAGAAATAATAATAATAAAAAAGACACAACAGCACATTCATCTGGATACCGTATATGACACAAGATAACACACCCCCTGGGCCGATTTTCAAAGCTCGATTTCTCAACAGCAGGAAGAGTCACAGCGCCGAAAACGGCGGCGTTGGAACCGTCTCGTCGAGAGGTTTTCGAAAATGTATTGTTTCGTTTATGCATCCTCTTCGTCGTGGAGTAATCGAGCTTTGAAAATCGGTCCAGGGGGTGTGTTATCTTGTGTCATATACCGGTACACCCTCGTTCATGATCGTTTTTTACAGTGTCAAAACGCCCAACTACGGACAACGGAATTCCACCTGTTCGCCTTAAAAAAGCGCGGAAGCAGGCGGATTGGGTAGAGGTCAGAAGGGCTACAAAGAACAGCAACACCACAACGACACGTGGTCACTAATCTAATTGGAAACCTGTGAACGCCCTGTGTACTTTCCCCAAACACAGTTTTGTGTTTTCAACCGCACTGAGACTGACGTCTTTTCATTGGTCGGCCGGTTAGCGCGGTCGATGCCAAAAATAAAAAACACACCCACAATCACACCGTATGTATGTAGAAGGCCTAGACAAGAATCAGAACAACGAACCCTCTCCACCCGCGCGCCCCCCCACGCATTCCTCCCCTTCGCGGGCCCCCCTATTCTACGTATCAACGTATTCCTCCCCTTCGCTTCAAGCAGTGAAACAATCCAAAAGTGAGGGAGGGCTGCGAGCAAACAACTGTGCTCGTTTGGCATCCGGGGGGGGCACCTATGAGATCGCACGCGCCGAGCCTCCATTCAGAAAAGTGCTTCGTCGACGGATTGACGCACTGGGTCTGTCCCGATAGATAATTACAGTGGATCCAACAAAGTCAACGGCCCTCACTAGCGCGCTAACGCTTCGCTACCTCACTACCTCACACTATTGGGGGACCCTGCTGACTGTACTGCTCTCTTCAGGCCGGGCTCGCAGTCACTCGTAATCTACAACCAAAACATGCTCCAGATGTGCACGTTACCCACACGATCGACACGCGCTTAGAGGAACAAGGCGGCACCGGACACGCTTGGTTGTCGGCGACAACGCACGTACGATATGGGAATCATTCGGGTAACACTGCCCGCGCGCGTCGAGTTTCGTCAGGTTCAAGTAAAAAAAAAACGCCTGACAAAAACCCGACCGTAGATTCAGCTACAGATTTTGAGTGATCGATCTGGAGAATGCAGTGATACCCCCGACTCACCCCGTCCACTCCCACTATCGCAAACCCGCATGCACCGAAGGGTGGTCCAACCTTTAAGGGCAACATCAGGCAAACAACAGTATCTGCGGCGCGTTGGAGCTGCCGACTATGTATCCATGGTCTCAGGGAAGGGAACTCGCGGAACACGGCATTTGCGACTACGAAAACTCAAAGCCAGCGGCCCCGTGGCGTATGGCCACCAGGAGGTTTTTCCTGAGAGAGTAAAGGTCCGGGTATCGCGGCAGCTTGAGCATGTAGAAGCACGTCGCTGCCATGGGCAGCGGCCTCTCAGGATCGTAGTCGATCATCGCCACCTAACAAAAACAACCAAATAGACAGTTGGGTGAGACATGTCAAATGTGGGACTGATGTTACCGTTTCCGATCGGTGAGTGCAATGCGAGAAGATATAGAATACAATACAGACAAAAAAAAACAGGAAGCGTGGGTGGACGGATCCGAAATCGCTGCGAACAAGACGAGCGTAAGGATCAGTTCGAATCAATCCCGTGTTTTGTGCACACAACACGAACATCATTATACGCGAGTCGATTGGCATTTGGCAGCTGACCGATGCTTAAAACGTACGCGACTAGACGCAAAAGAGGAACATACATGCGGGAGACCAAGGGACACGCTGCATGAGAGAGCATAGACAAGGCGATCGAACAGCAGAAAATGGTGCGACCGAAAAAGACGCCAATACCACACCGTACTAGCCTTGTTCTACTACCTCCTTCTCTCTCCCCCATGTTCCTGTCTGCCTGTCCGTCCGTCTGTCTATCTGTCTGTCTATCGTTGTCTACCTCTCTCCCTATCGTTCTCTCTGTCACTCCAGCACAAGCCTCCGTACCTATGCCTTAGGCAAACGCTTGGCTCACCGTAAACGTACGGGGGGCCAGACCCCTGAACCCTCCCGCCGGCAGCCTCGAACACCCCGTGGCGAACTGAAGCAGCAGCGACCGCTCCTCCTTGGTCAGAGAGCGCACCACGTTCCAGAACCACCTCCGCAACATCGCCGTCGGCTCTCCCGTGAAGTGCGCGTTTCTGGCGTTGACGGCAAGAAATTGTTTTCGAGAAAACATGAGAAGCACAAGCAAAGAGAACGGCAGCATCGGGTGTTAGAAGTTTGTGCATTCTCCGCTGTGCGCTGTGTTTCGTTCGGACGGACAGACCGCGGGACTGGCCAGTGGAATGGATGGCGCCCGTCTGATCAGAAACAAAGAAAAGGCTAGAGTGATTTCTAGTCTGCGGC